ACAAAAAACAACAAAGACAAAACCTACATTTGAATAGTTAGTTTAATTCTCAAATAATTGAGAATACTTTCAGATGGGCTGTGTGTGAAAGTAGGAATGAAATTAATGCAGATTTGTCATGTTTAAGTTCAACTTTCTTTGTAGCCTGACCTGATTTATTTTTACTTGGTCTTTACAGCTGAGTAATTCCTCTTCTCCTCCCATCTGCAGCGTGCCTTGCTTGGAGCAGAGTTTGTTTTGTTGATGGACATAAATATTTGAATCTGTCTGCAAGGGGGATTTGGTGGCTTGGGGAATTGGTAATAGACTATAGAGCGTTTCACCTCAAGGGTCACTAGTTCACATCCGTATCAGGTCAATAGTGGCAGAAAGTCATTATGCATCTGGCTGGCATCTGCGTGGTGGCCATTGCCAAATCATTTAATAATCTCAGTCTGGTTCCACGTGGCCAGGTGCTTTCTCTTCTCCCCAAAGCAGTGGCCTGCAGCAGACCTCCTCAGCCAGTCTCTCGCTACCTGCTCGCAAGGAAGGATCCCAATCCCCTTTTTTGGGGGACCCCCTTCATCCCCCAGACACCCCAGAGCGGGCCCGGCCAGGGACCAGCCCTGCCCAGGGTCTGCCTCACACCAACACCCCCGGAGGGAGGGCGCCGGCTGCTGCAGAGGCGGGGGAGCCCCGAGCCCCCTCTCCTGAGCCCCCCTCACCGCCCCCCCGGGGGCGGGGGGTCCGGGGGGATGCCCCGCAGCGCCGGCAGCCACCGCCACGCCCGCGGCGGCCCCGGGAGGGATCGCCTCCTTCGGGCCCGTCGCCACGCACGGCGCTGGCCGCCGCCGGCCCCACGCAGCCCTTCCCGCCCCACGGCCCTTGCTGGACGCCGGGGCCGCGCAGTCAGCCAGGGGCGGGCGCGGGGGGAAACGGATTTTTTAATATTTTTTTTTTTTTTTTTTTTTTTTTTTTTTTTTTTTTGGTCAGTGTTACCCACTCCTGCCACGCTTCGGTTGCTTTCTGATGTCGGGGAAGGAGAAGGGGGGAGGGAAGCGGCTTGGCTTCAGTTCAGGGAACGCTCGGGAGGTGGCGGGTGCCGCCAGGCCGCCCCCTCGCCCGCCGCTGCCCGGGGCCGGGGCCGGGGCCGGGGCCGGGGCCGGTGCGGGGGCGGCGGGGGGGCCGCCCGGCCGTGCGGGGCTCTGCGGGGTCGGTTGACCTGCCCCGGGCGGGTGCTCGCTGCGGGTACCACGTTTTAACCACGTGTGTGGAAATAGGTCCGTGCATTGTGTAGAGCCTTCCTCCTCCTCCCCCTCTTCTTCTCTTCGAGGGAAACTAAATCCAAACGGTGAGATGTGGGAGAGCGCGAATCCCCGTGAATCCCATCTGAATAAATGTCTATATTAATGAATTATTAACTCAGCCGCTCATGACCTTAAAACTGGAATGAGGAGACGCCTAGGGCAAGAAGGAAAGCTGCTGAATCCTTTATCGGACTCCTGTCAGAGGTAACCGACCATTTGTCTTCCCCAGATCAGGGGAATTAATTAATATGAAAGGCAAACTTTTTAATTGTGTGTCAAACGAAATCAGATAGGGTGTCCCCGATTCAATCCCTTCCTAAAAGGGGTTTAGCTCCCTTTTCTGCCCCCAGCCTAAAGCAAAACCTTCTAGTTTCCAAAGAGACGGGCATCATTCCTGAGGGTTATTCACAATACAAAAAAACAAACAAACAAACAAAGAAACCCAAAAGAAAAAAAATCGCAGGGAAAATGATGAATTTGGGTAGTTAATTTATCGATCTTGGCTCCTCTTCCCGCTTGTTTTATTTTAGAGGTCATTAATCAATGAAGAAAAACACCACCGTGTTCCCCCTTTGCATTTAATACATTTACTCTCCTTATTTATTTCTTTTGAACAAATTCCTAGCAAATATTCACCAATCGATTTGTAGGCGATGGATTTTTATAAAGGTTTGATCGCTTTCTAAACGGTCAATGTGATTTGTTTCAGTGCTCGTCCTCTAAATAATGAAAAAGCCTGAGAGAAGGGGAAGGAGGAGGCAGTAGTTAAAAACTCCTGTCTTTTTTTCTACAGCTTTACACGCAGAAGTCACATCCAGGAGGGAAAAAAAAAAAAAAAAAAAACACAATAGTTTTTTTAACCCCCTCCCCCCCTCCCCCCCCCCCAAAAAAAAACCCAAAACAAAACAAAAAAACAAAACAAACCAAAACAAAAAAAAAGCCCAAACCGAGAAATAGTAACAAATAGACTGTAAGCAAACTCGGGGGAGACAAAAGGGACGCGGAGGATCCGCTCTGCCTGGGGCGGCGAGACCAGAGGTCAGGGCTGGCTAGAGCCGTCCCGGGGGGGGGCAGGTTCGGGGGCTGGGGTCCTGCTCGCCGGTCTGCCGGTTCCGCTCTTCCCGAGGGGCTGAAGGGGCCGGCAGCGGTGATGTTTCGGAGAGGCTGGTACCGGAGCCGTCTTCTGTCCCGAGGAGACACGCCGCTGCCTCCCCCCGCCGGCCCGCCGCGCAGGGACCCGCGCAGCCCTCCGCGCTCCCCCGCGGCCGCCCCCTCCTCCGCGCCCAGCTCCGGCCGAGGCGGCCCGGGGCACCGGGGCTGCTCGCCGTTAAAAGGACAAAGAGCCACCGGGCGAGGCTGACGGGGTCCGCCGGCCCCCGCCCGAGCGCCGGTGCCGCCCGCCCGCCGCAGCGCCCCGACCTGCGGGCAGAGCCGGCGGGAGCGGGCGTGGGGCCGGGGTGCCGGCGGGACCGCCGCCCTCCTGCCCCCCCTCCCTCCCCCCTCTCTCCCCCCCTCCCTCCCGCCGCCCGCCCGGCCCGGCCCGGCCCGGCCCGGCCCGGCCCGGCCCGGAGGACGGGTGGAGGCGGTGAGCCTTGCACTTCTTTCCTCCGCTTAGGCTGGGTCCCAAAGTGTCGGGGGGAGGGGGGGGGGGGGGGCGGGGGGGAGGGTGTCTATAAATTTTATTCTGCCACCTTGACCACTCGAAGCTCTACTTTTCTCGCTGTAAAAAAAACCCAAACCAAAACAAAAAAAGAACACCAAAAAAACTACAGTAATAGATTAAAGTCCTCCTAATATGAACCCGCATGGAATATTTCCGTTAACAACTCAAGGCAAGTGCAGATATTGACAATGTACTTAAGCCCATTAGCTAGGATCTTTTCCCCACTTCATCACGTTTTTCTAGCGTGAAACGAATTTCTAGGGATTGCTGTCACTAAAAACAATCCAGTATTTTTAAAACATGTCCAGTAAGGAAAACAATACCGCAGAGGCACGCGCTTTTTTTTTTTTTTTTTAATAATAATAATAAAATGAAGAATCAGAAAGAGCGGAATAAGATTGCCACCAAGAAGAAGCTGGCCAAGGACGAGACACTATATTAATGCCGTGAAAACAGAGAAAACACAGCGCGCCCATTCGCAGATGAGTGTGCTCAACAACACGCTATGTGCAGGCTAACGAGTGTTCCAACAGGCTCCCGCCTCGCACCTCTGTCCCTCAGAGGGACGGCAGTACTTCGGAACTTCAGAAGGAGCATTAATGGAGCGAAAGGGCTGAAAATTCATTATATGTTGCACAACGGAATTGATCAAAGACATAAAGAAGGTTTTTACAGCCAACTTTATAACCCATAAAAATCGGGGGTTTTCCTACTCGTGTTTGCCTTTAACTTAGGTGTTATCAATCTATACAGCAGATGACTGATGACCTTGTCAAAATGACGCCAGTCAAAACATTTTTTGCCTCAGCCCTGTTCAAATTTGTGTTAAAATGTCCTGCCTTAGACACAGACAAAGTCTAAACAGCAGCAGCTTTCCCAGGCTCTGCGACAATGAAGGGTGGGAAAGAAATAAACTAGAAAAAGGGTGGGGGGAATGGCAAAAACAGTTCACACGCGCACACGTTATGTTTGTAAGCAAGTGTCCGTTTAGTGGCAGCGTGACACCTGACAAGGGGAGCTTTCCTGACACTAGAGAGATGCTTCGGAGACATAAACGCTTTGTGCAAGTATTTTGTCTTAAATGCATGGGACAGTAAGTACATGCGATATACGTAAGAGATCACAGTTCTCCTCTAGTTTTTCATACGGTGTAGGAAAGAGACTGAAAAAAACTGTTACATACTCACTGATATGTGAGCTCAACAACTGAGTAGCGGGGCGGGAAAAAGAAAAAAAAAAAAAAAAAAAAAAAAGCCAATTTTTAAGCAAAGTGTAGAGAGAAAGTCTCTAGAGATGAGAAGTTTCCCGCCACAGGTTGCATCTCCGTCTGCACGCTTCTTGCTCTGTTCCGTAACCGAGCACGGAAAGCAGGAGGGAGGCGTGCTGGTGCTCGAGGGGACAAGGTCTGAGGAGAAGTTGCAGGGCGGTGAGTTCCCTCACCCGCGCTGGGACCTCCTGGGGCAGATCCCAGGTAGCCGGGAGGAACGGGAGGCAGGTCATCCCGGGAGACGTGTTAAGTAACGGAGGTGGGAGAGTATCAGTACAGCGAAACGGGCCAGGAAGGTTTCTAACATTCACCTCGGCTCCCGAGGGGCCAAAGGCAAGTGAGGCGAGGCCACGGCTGCCGGGAGCCTGGCGGGGTGCGAGGCGCTGGCTTGGGCCGGAGCCGGCCGGGAGCTGCCGCAGCCCGGCGCTGGGACCGCGCAGCGGCGCGGATCCTGCTCGGCACTGCGCGGGGCCAGCGCTCCCCTTCCGCCAGGATAAAAGCCCAGCTCTTCCTGGGAGCGCTGTGCGCCCGGAGCTGGGGAGGCAGAGAGAGAAGGAGGGAGAAAGGGAGGGGGAGGGAAGAAGGGAGGGGGAAAGAAAGGGAGGGAGGGAAGGAGGGAGGGAGGAAGGGAGGGAGGGAAGGAGGGAGGGAGGGAGGGAGGGAAGGGAGGGAATGAAAGAAAAGGACACCTTTAAAAGTTGAGCAAGGAACAAAGTGGGGGAAGTTGCCAAAAAAAGGGCTCTGCATTCAGACTCGCTGGTAACTTCCCGCTCCCTCCCCTCCCTCTCGTACACACCACACACACTTGTATTTTGCGCTGTCGTAAAACCCACGTGTCTAGCCCGGAGTCTGCCAGAGCCGGGGAAAGAGCCCGGGCGCGACTGCGATGCGCAGCCACGGCAGAGGGAGCCCGGCGGCTGGGAGCTAGCCGGCCCGCCGGCCCCCGGCACCTGGAAGAGGATCACCCCGCTTCCCCGTGGATAAAGACCGGAGAAAGCCTCTCCCTGCAAGCCCTCCTCCGGCTCGAAGGCTCCCGGGGCCGCCCGCACCTCCGCACGCCGACCCGGCGCAACACCGCCCAGGTAAGGCGGCGAGGGGCGGCCGCGGCCCCCCCGCCTCGCCCGGCACAGCCGCCCCGCCGGGGCTGCAGCGGGGTGCCTCCGCCCGGGGCGAGGGTCCTGCCGGGCCGCCTCCTCCTCCTGCAAGCGCTGGCGTAGAAAGCAGCGGCGGCTGGGGCGAAAACACGCGCGCGGGTGTGCGTGGGGCTGAAGTTTCCCCCCCCCCCCCCCCTTCTTCCTCCTCCTCCTCCTCCTCCTTCCTGTTGTCAACTTGGAGCGCCGCTCGCTCCCGCGGAGGGAGGGCAGGGAATGGAAGGGAAAGGTTCTGCCTGTGCCGGGGACGGGGTGAGCGGCGCGCCTTTTGGGGCGGCCGGCCGCCCGTCCGGCCGCGGGCGTGGGGGGCTGCCCGCCGCCGCTTTCTTCCTGCCCGCGCCCCGGGGGAGGCGGCGGGGGGGAAGCCTTGTCTCCCCGGCCGGCGCTTCTCGCGTGTCCGCCCCCGGGCTCTTCGGGCCGAGGTTTTCTTCTGCCGAGCCTGGCACGGGCAGGGAAGCGGGGCGGGGGCGGTCCCACCTCCGACCCCGGACAGCCGGCGCGGAGAGCCCACGCGTGGGCCGCCGGGTCCGAGCGCAGAGAGCGCCGCGGGGTCGGGGCGGCCCGGCCGGGGCGGGGGGTCTCACGTCTGCTGTCCCCCTCTTCTCCGCTCCACAGGCAGCGCGATGCTGAAGCCCGGCGACCCCGGCGGATCCGCGTTCCTGAAGGTGGATCCCGCCTACCTGCAGCACTGGCAGCAGCTTTTCCCGCAGAGCAGCCAGCTCAAGAGCAGCGGGGCCCTCGCCCAGCTCCAGCCGCCCGAGAGAGCCGAGCCTGCGGCTGACAGCCTCCGCCAGCGCCCGGCCTCCCTCTCCTCCGCCTCCTCCTCCTCTTCCTCGTCCACTCCGTCTTCCTCCTCCACCTCCTCCTGCGTCGCCGCGGCGGCCGCTTCCCTGGCCGGCCTGACCTCTCTGCCTGTGACCCAGCTCCCTGTCTTCGGGCCGCTGCAGAGCACCGAGCCCCCGGCCGGGGGAGCGCCCGCTCCCCTCCCGGGCAAGGACGTGTGCGGGGCCGGCAGCGGCGGCAGCAAATGCGGGGAGCGCGCTGCCGCTCGGTTCCGGTGCACGGCCGAGGAGCTGGACTACTACCTGTACGGGCAGCAGCGCATGGAGATCATCCCCTTGAATCAGCACACCAGTGACCCCAACAACCGTACGTATCGTGTCCCCTTCCTGCAGCCCCCGGCCCCGCCACCCTCCGCCTCTCCCTGCACCGGGCCGGCCTCGGGACGCTCCGGGCTGGGGGACCGCAGTCAGTGCCTGCACCGCTCTCTCCCCGAGGAGCCTCCTCCGCCCTGCCCGTCCCTCCCTTGAGCTGCTTTCGCGTTCTTCCCGGTGCTTTTGGGAGGCGGGAGGTAACCCCTCGGAGATCGCTTTTTTTTTTTCCGCCGGAGACCCAGGTCCTGGCCTGGAAGGCACACTTCGCCGGGGAGGCTGGTGTGGGGTAGGTTTCTCTCGGAGGGCTGCGTAGGAAAATGGATTCAGAAATAGTTCAGAGCAACTTGCTATAGAGCTGGTCCTTGCCCGCCTTTCTTGTCTCGCTCCGTTCCTGCCTGGAAAGCCTGGGTTTCGCTGAATGCCCAGAAACCAATTACTCTTCCGAGCTGGGCAGGGAAAAACTTGCAGTTTTCATCAGATAGTCTAGGGCAAAGTTTTCCTCCCTCATACCTCGTAGTATCGTTTTCCTTTTAGACCTCCTTAACACCTCGCTGGTTTTAGTTTTCACCCCTATGGAATAGCATGACATGGTCATTGAATAAGAAAAAATGGTTTTCTAGATGAAAAAGGTCATCTGCATTAGTGTCAGAATTCACGTAGGACTTGGTGATTAGAAAACGTTTAAGACTGCTGTCGCAAATTATAGAGGGTTTGTGTTTGTGTTTTTGTTTGGGTGGGGGGGGTGGGTGGGAAGGAGGGCACCCCTATTATTAAACATCTGTATCGACTAGAAGTCTGTAATTTTAGAAATTGGTTCTGCCTGTCTTTTATTCCTGTATCTGTCGATACTACGCAACTGAGGAAATCCATGGAGTGAAAATGACTAGATGAACTATATTAATTCATCAGCTTTATTACTAACATTCAGAGCACACAGATCTGCCCCTGTTAAAACACTGGAACATGGCTTTAGCGTGTGCACTTTTTTCCATTGCTTCAAACGCCCTCTCTTATCATGAGGTTTCTTAAAATTCTTTATTTTTTGTTGTCCTTCCCCCCTCATGCCTATTTAAGGAAAGCTGTTGAACAGACAAACGATACCCCGATTCAGGGATCCATAAGCACATGCCCAAGCAAAATGCGGATTCGTTTAATTTAATTTCAGATGCTGAGATTGTTTTGAAAGTTTCCATGAAACTCTGTTGTCCTAAACTGCGTGAATGCTAGCAGTCTTAATCTTTGTGCATACATCTTAAGGAGCACAAGGAAAGTTGACTCTGAGTTTGGTGGGGATTTCCTCTCTCTTCTTAACATTGCAAGTTTTTCTATATTGGATACCGACTTTGTTTAGAGTGACTTCCTCACTCTTAGTTTTACCCTGTAGTGAAACTTGTTAGTGTATTTTCTATTCTCGTGTGCAGAAAATGTGATCTCATAAATTACATGCACTTAAACTGAAACGCACTTTGAATCGCCACCCGAATCGTTCAGACAATAGATGTTTTACTTCTCGGAGCAGCTCTGTAAATCTGCAAGATAAAGGTTTTAAAAAGAGAAAGGAAGATAAAAAAACAATTTGGGGGCAACCATTCTTAAGGAATGATTTGAATAATAGCACGCTGCAGAGTCGCAAGCGAATCTTCTTCCCAACCGCGATATTAAAGGTGGAGTCGAGAAAGCAAACGGGGCGCTTGCAGCGAGGAGGCTTGTGAATCGCGGCCGGCCGGGACGGGGCAGGGAGCTGCCCTCACGGCCTCCCCCTCTTCTTCTGCAGCGAGATCTAAAAAGTCTTATCACTGAGCGTATTTACGAGGCGACTTTCGCTCCGGCGGCTATTAGTCGTCTCTGAGCAAAACTTTTAATCTGCGCGTTTCAGCCTTCTGGGACCAGGTGCGTTCGCTTTGGGCAACTCGTTCTTAGAAATAAAGGAAAAAAAAAAAAAAAAAAAAAAAAAAAAAAAGTGAACTGTAAGCGAGGAAGGAGTAGAGGCATTGTGGTCGGTGCCGGGCCACGCACTCGCACGGTCAGCGGCGCCGCCGAGCAAGCTGCGGGGCAGCGGCCCGGCCTCCTGCGCGGCTCCCCGGGCGCCTCCGCGGTCGCGCAAGGAGTCCGCGGGCAGGCGGGATTTTCTGCCGCTTTGACTCCGTCCTCGGCTCCGCGTTCTGCCGCGGAGGTGCCCGTCTGAGATGAAGGAGGCCGGGGTTGCGGCTGAGGCGAAGAGCGACCGGCTGCGGTTTGAGTCGCGCTAGCTTGCTTGCTGCCCCTTCTAGCTGCGGACAGCCCCACCGACACTCTGAGGCTGACAAACGGGTGCCTCGCGGGCAGGGGGGCTCACCCCCGCCCGGCGCCCACCCGCGGGGCCCGATCCCCGCCCCGAACGCGGGGCGCAGGGCCGCCGTCTCGGCCTTGCCCGGCGGCCGGCCCCCGGCCGCTGGCCGTTTCTCGATTTTTAGGCGCACCCTGTTCGCGAACCGGGCCAGTGCCCCGTCTCCCCCCGTCCTTCCCAAGTACGCAGCCGCCCCGCTCCCGAGCATCCCCCTTTCTTCCCACTTCCCCGCCGCCTTCGCCCCCGCCCGGGGCCGGGCTCTCCCGCCCGGGAGCGGTGCTGGCAGGCTCCGCCGGCGCCCCGGGCCGCTCTCCGGGCGGCCGCCGCGGGGCAGGGGGCTGGCGGCCCCGGGGAAGCCCCGGAGGCGGCGGCGGTCCCGACTCCCCAGCGCCCGGCCCGGCGCCGGGCGGCCGCCGTGGAGAGATGGATGGGCGGCGGTTTCCCCGTAGCCGCACGCCTCGATCGTCAGATATCAATGAGTACGGCACGGCCTTGGGCGAGGGAGGGGGGCGAGGGCCGCCAAGGAGCTGTGGGTGAAGTGTCTGTATGTAACTGTTTTAAATTGGAAGGGGTTTGGTTGGGGGGCGCGTGGGGGGGGGAAACCCGACCAAGAAACAAACCCCCAATTAGGGCCCTGCAGTCTTTACTCCCAGGGAAGTAAAGGGGATTATGTTAAAACCCTGATAATGTGGCAGGCGGCTGGGGACCGTTTTCTTCCCAGCTCTGAATCTGGAAGGATGAGGGTATTTCTGGGCGCTGGGGGAGGGGCGCTTGCGCGGCGAGGAGGAGATCTCCTGGGGTGAGTTTTGGGGGGCGCGGGGCCGACTCGCTCCCGTGTAGGCTTGCCCCTCGCTGCTGGGGAGAGGCTCTCGGCAGCGAGAAGTCCGCGACTCCTCTTACCTTCACCAGAAAGCGCCAACCTGCCACTGTAATAAATACGCTGTGTAAAACTGAAGTGTCACGCAAGCAAGCAGTTTGCACGCCTCTTCCCATTCAATTTACGGGGAGACAGTGTATATATAACATGCCGTGAAGTAGATCGGTGCGGGGAATATTTGGATTTTTTTTTTTTTTTTTTTTCTCTAGGCTGTTGGTAACCTGTATGATTTAGCTATTTTACATCATTAGTTACCCAGCACCCTTAAACATAGCAGATAGCCATACATTAGATTGAGGTTAGAGAAGGTGGTGACTGTTTATTTAGGGTGATAAAATGGTCCATCAGCAGTAATCTCCATCGATATGTGCCACCAGGAGATGAAGGATGAGGGGACAAGCCACAATTAATTGCCCTATAGTTTTGTAGGAGAGAGTGGAGCCGGTGCGGACTGAACTTCGATCTCCTCTCCCAGAGCCTATTCATCATCTCTACATTGTATATGGGGGTCTCTCAGGGGCAGGGGGTGGCAAGGTTTATCTACACACAATATTCTCCTACCCTTCTCATACCTGACACGGAAATTTAATTCATTCATACCTTCAATCGAAGGCAGGGAAAATCAAACCCACATCCTCCAACCCGCCCCCCACCCGCCTGGCAAAAATAACCCCAAAGCGGCTCTGCGATCGGGACGGTCCCCCCCCTGCCCGCCCCGCGACGCCCAGGCGGGACCTCACACACCGTCTCCCTCCGGGGGGAGCTGGGGTGGGGCGGGCCTGAACCCCTCCACTCAACCCCCTCCACGGCCGGGGGGCTCGGACCCCGCGGCGGCTCCAGCGCCGGTGCGGCAGCTCCGCCCGGGCGGCCGGCGGGGCGCGGCGGCCGGGCCCCGGCCGGAGGGGAGCGGGGGGGGCGCGGCGAGGGGGGGTAGGAGCCCGGGGAAGGGGGGGTCGGGGCCCCGGGAAGGGTCGGGCCGCTCCGCACCCCGGCGCCGCGGCTCGAGCCCCGGGGCGGCAGGCTGGGCTCGGCCCCGCTCTCCGAAATTCGGGTCGAGAACAGGTAAACGAGCACGTGGAAGGGACCGGGGGTGGGGATTGCATCTGCATTTCCCTCCCCCGAAAGCCCTGCCCCAAGTCGGGCAGCCTGCGAGAAACTGAGGTGAATTTCCCAAAATGAGACCGATGTCAGCTGGTCGGTGAGGAAACTGAGGCACAAGGAAACTGCGATCCCCCGGAGAGCTCCAGCCCTCAGGAAAAGAAAGGGTACTGTCTCACCCAGCCCACCCTCCCTCTTAGCTGGGTACCCGAGCCCCGCCGCAGTGATTTATACTTGCAAGTGAGTAATACCGTGTGAAATGATGGCCACTTACACCGGATACCTGCATGCTTGCAGTGAATTATGAAGCAGAGGGTCAGAGGCCACCCTTCTTTAATACCAGCAAACTGCAGGTATCCAGTATAACTGCACCTTTGAAGCATATTATTGCTGAGACAAAAATGTATTTCTTTCATTTATTGTTACAGCTGGTTTGCTGGTTGAAACACTGTGTTGGACCCCACCTTTCACTGACAAAAGCTTTCTCCTCTCAGATTTCCTTTAAAATATTCAGTAGTAGTATTATTTAGGTTGGAGAGTGTCTACAATTGTATTTTGGGGTCAACGATGTCTCCTCTTCCTTTTGATTAGGTTTAGTACTTTTAAGTGTACTCACATGGAGTTATAGTGCTGGCATTACACTGTGTTCATTTTTATGGAGGCAAATAAACGATAACATATTGCACTCCTCCCAAAAGAGCCATACCAAACAGCTCCACTAGGAAATCGTTTAATTTTTTTTCTTGCTTCTTCCTTGCCTTAATCCTTCCATCTATAGAGCATGAAGGCATGAAGTGAGAAACTGATCTCCTTCCAAAGAGTCTGGATGCATCTGGGCCTGCAATGAACCATTCCCTCACCTTCTATGTCTCCCAGTTTTATCAGGAGACACTCTGCTCTGGCTGCAGCCATTCCTGCTTTTTCCATTTTTAGCAAATCCCTCAATTTTCCCACATTTCTTGCTTCTTTGTCTTGATCTGAGGCATGATGGGTGCTAGTACAGCCAGTGGAAGTATTAATTTCAGCAGTCCTTGGAGGAGGCCTGTACTCACACAGCTGCTCTCTGAAGCCAAAATAGGAGGAAGGGCACAGTACATCTCTCCTTGTTGCCCTGTGTTGCAGTCTTCTGGAAAGCTTGCACTTGTCCCACCATGTCCCTTTTACGTGAACTTCCCACACCTGTGTGGGTCTTAACAGTTATCATCCAGTTTGGAGACTCTAGTGATGTCAGAGGACCACAGTACTCTCCCTCTCAAAACCCCCTCTCCTTTTCCATGTATTATTGAGCAAGTTGGTGCACTGTATCACATCTTACTTTGCAGTATCCGTGAAGATGATGCTGTTGATCCTTTCTGTGAGGCAGGGTAGTGTGCAAGCCTTGGAGTTCCTCTTTTTTCCCCCTATCTGTTATGAAGGACTTCTGTCTCTCATCTTCTGAGGCAGAGGATTCGACTAACAGTGACTGTCTTTAAGTGGGTGGTATAACATCACTGTAAGAGTGCTTGGGTCAAAGCCTTCCACATATAATTACACAAAAGTTCATCACAGAATAGGAAAAGATGGATGGTAAACTTTTGACTCAAGGCATGGTGAAACATGTGTAGCAGGGCTTCCACTCCTTATAACATTTATGAGGAATTTTTAAAATTTTATTTGTACAATTGCATAAAAACTAAAGATAGATGTATAAAGCATGCAGCTATGAAGAATTTCAGTACTGCTTAGTATTAAAGATACACTCCTTCCCTCTCATCAACAAGCCATAAACCAAAACAATTTCAGAAGATGTTCCATTTTCCAAATTTTCAGCTTTGGCAGGACAAAGGGAAAGGAGCACAGCAGGAGATCAGATGCTGCCTCTGCCAAGCATTAAGACATTACCAGTGGTTCTGGATAGTGGAAAATAAATATCACCATGTGTGACTTTCTGTAATGGTAAATGACAGTGTCACAGGGTTCATTTATACTCCTTGTCAATGTATTAGTTTCTTTTCCTTGAAAAGGTAGAAATAAAATGTTTTATCCACTTGAATGCACACATAATGTCAGGATAAAGTGAAGAGATCCTCGTACTAAAAGCTGTGTGCGTGGAAAGCTATGCATATGTAGGGTGGCAGGATACAAGAAATTGACACTGAAATTGCCTGATCTGAGTCACGAAGATGCTTTAGCATGTTTAATATAAGTCTCTACAGAGACATAGTGTCTCCAAGAAAACCATTAATAATCAGGTAGTTGGAAGGAGGGTTATGTGTCTAGAAGCTGGTCAAAGAGTGCAAACAGGTCGGATTCAAGGGGCTGCCCTAGGTGCTAATTGATATCATGGTTAGACACCCTCTTTCTGTGCCTTCAGTTTTCCCCTCAGATGTTTTCTTTCTAATTTGCCTGGTAAGATGCTGGATTTGTTTGACGTGTACGCATATGCCAACCTGTTTGGTGTTGTTTTTTGTTTTGGTTTTTTTTTTCTTTCTTTCCTATTTGAGATCTGTTCCTGTATGTTCTCCAGTGCCAAACTCCAATGCAGGCCTTGAGGTCTTTGGATATGCCAAAACCACAGGGTTTCTTGATGACTGGTTTCAAAGAGGAAAGAAAAGATGTTGTGGTGATACCTCACTTTCCAAACTAGCTATGGAAATAACAACAACTAAAATAACCCCAGCATGTACTTGCTGCTTTTTATTCATCATGCCTGGGAATGACTGTAGGAATATCTACTGCATAATAATCTTCTCTCAGGACTAGCCAGCAACCTTTTCCCTGGGGTCCTGCAAATCTTATCCTCCAGCCACCTCTAATTGACATGGCTGAGCGAGCAAAACCCCTCTGCAGTTGTGGCTTAGCCTGACAAAAGAGTCCTTCTGCGACAGGGATTATATTGTTGAGGAAGGGCTTTAACCCTCCAGCCAAAAGGCACTTTTCTGGCCAATCTAAGCACGGTTCTCACCAGGGGGCTTTGTCCTGCGGCAGCAGTGCCAGCAAGGGCCCCCTCCCCTCCCTTCCCCTCCCTTCCCTTCCCCTCCCCTTCCCTCCCGCCTTCCTGCCCTGGCGTGGTGGGGCATGCCAGGGATGGCATGGGGCGAATTCCACACCCAGGCTGCCTTCTGCAGGGGCACCCATCGCAGTAACGCCCAGCTCAGGGCTCGCTCGCTCGCTTGCTTTCTGCTAAGATCTGTAGTCAATGTCACGGATGGTGAACTTGAACAGACAAGCACCAAGTAGGGACGTATGCGTTTGCTGCGAGACTTGAAGGTGTAATAATTTCAAGGGAAATTATCTTCCACTTGTAACTTTCAAATATTTTCATATTGCCGAATGCATCATTTTTGTATGGTACAATTTAAAAGAGGATGACAGGAAATATTCACTAGAAAGTGTGTCTAAAATTGGAGAATGCAAATAGTGTCCACATTTTGAAAATGTAGCTTTTGATATCCTTTAGCAGCTTTTACTGAATAGAGAGGAAGATTTTCCTTTGAAGGCTCTGTAGGAAAGGCCTACATAATACATAGTATACCCACCTCGGAAAGAAGAACAGCTGTGTCAGTGCCCCTGAGAATTGAAACTCTGGTTACAGGCAGCCTAGCAAGTCTAAATCTGTGGCTTAGACCAAGAAGCTTTGGCTTCTATAGTGAATACTGTGTTTTATTAGAACGGGTGTAGGTTGTAGAAAAGTATTAGGGGAAAGATATAGGACTTGCTACATGAGTACTATGGCATAGTTACTGTTTTTCCTTTGTATTTCTGGAATAAATTTATATGAAAACTTTTACTGTGCTACAAAAGTGAAATGTGCAGAAGACGGTAACCTATTTCAACAGATTTATTGTTATGTTAACTCAGCATACCTCAAGAGAAATGGATTTCCTGAGCATGAAACATTTTCCTGGAAGTTGTACACTCATGGCATGTGCAATAGTACGCAGTGGAAACATTCAACCAAAATTTTCTTTGCTCAAAAAAGAAAAATCACAGCAGGATCTTCCCAAAATAGAGAAACATCATCAGCTATTAAGAGCTGTTAGGGAAATTAACATTTTTACAAACTGGTCTTTTTCATGGGAGCTGCTCACAAAAGCAGACATGCTGTTTTTTTTTGTTTTTTTTTTTTTCTTAGCCTCAGCTACATGTAGCAGGCAAAGGACATGAATTCCTATTCAAGAAAAAAAATCCCAACTGTGTGCTAGTAATCGGTAATATTTGCTACGTAATTTCAATTTAAAAATTAAATTCGGCCATAAGAAAGTAAATGTCTATGCGTGCTCCGATTTGTCATTAATGAAGTTCTGCTATATTTATTTTATTTTCTAAACAGACAGGCATGCACACACATGTTAATGTGAACAGTAGAGCAAATGTTCATTTAAAATAGTATGAAATTAGATCTTGTTCCAATTAAATCCTTGGGCTGAGCTGTGGTAAGGCAAACGGGGGAGGCTTGTAAGGTGTTACGACTGTGCTTTAAAATGTCTCACCAAAACACACTGGGATGGTTTAAATGGTCTATTTATATTAGTCAAAAAATTAATCTTAAAAAACTGTGTTAAAATAAATGAGTTTTGGCAGGTCTGTGCACACACCAGGCTTGCAGGATTGTCTGCAGGATTTCTGCTCAGCTTTCGGAATTTCTTACTATGGGCTTTGGCAGTACTATGAAAACCATCCTCGGCAACATGCAAAAGGGCAGGGTGTGTATGAGAAGAACAGAGGGATCTTGCCCGTGGCAGTGACCGCGGTGGTGGCCAGCAGCACCCCACTGACGGTGTTTTTCCCTCTTTGCCCCGCAGGATGTGACATGTGTGCTGACAACCGCAACGGCGAGTGCCCCATGCACGGGCCCCTCCACTCCCTGCGGCGTCTGGTGGGCACCAGCAGTGCTGCCGCAGCAGCCCCGCCACCCGAGATCCCGGAGTGGCTCCGGGACCTGCCCAGGGAGGTGTGCCTCTGCACCAGCACCGTGCCTGGCCTGGCCTACGGCATCTGTGCAGCGCAGCGGATCCAGCAGGGCACCTGGATCGGGCCCTTCCAGGGAGTCCTGCTCTTGCCAGAGAAGGTTCAAGCAGGAGCCATCAGGAACACTCAGCACCTCTGGGAGGCAAGTGACCATCTTTCTTTCCTTGTCAAATTTGACTGTTTTGAAGTAGACATTGCGTGTAATTCTATCTAGTACTAGCACCATTCACTAGCTGTAAAAAAAAAAAAAAAAAATCTAAGTAAGCTGACCCAATGAGTTTGAACACGTAGCTGGTGCAAGCAAAAACCTTGCTGCACTAGAGGTAGCCAGAAAACCAGCGGATGCCTCAAAGCTCCAATTGGTTTGCTTAGAAAAAGCCAAGTGTTGCAGGTGCTGTGATGCAGAACAGAGAGACGTGGCCAGAGAAAGCTGAAGGCTACAACACACAGTGCTCTTTACATTTTGGCCTGAGTAACAAGAGCGGTTGCAGCTCTCAGGTCACAGCACCAGCGGTATTGTTTTACTGTGAGCAGCACATGTGGGTTGAGATGGCGTGTTGCACCATCACTGGTCTACAGACAGGCCATGAAAGCTGCTGAAACAAACGCAGAAGACTATTCTACAGCCCTGCTCTTTGCACAGTGAAGGTATTAGAGTTTGTTCACCTTTTAGCTCAACTCTGACCCTGCACTGGCCGTGCATCCCCCTAATCACGCTTTCAGTGATTTTGTGTGAAAGTCACTTTCGGCATTCTGATGCTCTTTTTTTGTATCTGTCGCTGTATTAGAGAGGGTAGCAATGATAACTGATTTGAAAACGTTCAGGCTGTGATAGTTTGGTCAGTTCTGTGATGAACGCTGGCTGTGGTTTGGCAGAACAGATCATAAGCCTGCTATTGTATTCCTTTGGCCGTACGGGGACATCCATGTCTGCTACTGTTTGCGACCATGTACATTTTCTCCAGCGAAGCACTGGAGTTTTGTGCTAAGGTATACTTTGTATGCCGATGCTAACAACAACAACATCCCCTGTTAAGTTAATTTAGAAAGAAAAGACAGTATATACGCATTTTACACACTGATCTGATAATAGGGAACACGTATAATCCCTCTGTGTGTGTCAGTACTTACTATTTACAGAAACAGCCTACTATATATTGTCTAGTATTTTGCCATTCATTTCTTCGCTTTGTTCTGGAAGGTGTAATTTCTTAGTTCTGCTTAGTCCTCTGTAGCTGCAGCTTCTTCTCAACTCAAGACTAGCTGCTCTGGAGAGTCAGTAGAAATGTGCCTTTAGATCTGCAAGTGATATTTACTCATCTAGACCAAATCCGAATCTTTAGGATATAAGGGGATGTGCTTGCTGGTTAGAAATCCCACAAGGAATCCATGAAGATGCAAAGAGTGTTTTTGCTGTCTTCAGTGGATATACAGTGAAAATGAATGGATTGTTGAAAGATATTTGGTATTATTGAGCCAGGATATTGTGTATAGCACTTGTTCACAGAAAACCTGTGTCTATTTAGGTTATCAGCTGTTTGGCTCTGATGATTACCTCTTTTAATCATTATGTTCTATTTTTGCATACTATCTATTATGTGTGACTTCTTGCTATGAGTGGGAGCTCCTATGCATTTTCTATATGCAAACAAATAGTAAATAACACATCAGGGTCTTTGTCTCAAAGTATTTACTCAAAAGAGTCATTGTGACAAGTGGGGAGATTTTCACATTAAGGGGTAAAAGAATGGTCTCAGAATGCACCTAAATGTACCCAGTAAAGCTGGATGACTTGCAATCATTTGGAGCTTTGTTATAGCCTTCAGTGGAGATAGAATTTCTCTTGTATAGCAGATATTAATAAATTGGACTTAAATCTGTTCCTACCAAAGCCAGGTGATTATAATGAGAGCATTTTGGGATGCATTATTAATAAAATATTTTTTAATGGAATATTCTAAAATTATGTTGGAGGCTTTATTTTCATTGTTAGGAGGGGTTTTGTGGTTTAGACAATTCTAATTAACAGAATATAAAATAATAAAATAAGCTTGCCAGATCAAGTTACGTAAAACATTCAAATTAAGCTAAAATAAATGGAGTTAGAGAATTTTATATTATCCTTAAATATTTACATATTTTTTTTGTTATTATGAATCAGTTTTATGCAAGTTAAGTTGCAAATATTGATAATACCTTTTTTCATTAGGCAAGAATTTTTTAGTCTAATTTGAGATGAACTTAAAAATTGTTTTACAGCAATGAAAGAAGGAAGGTTGTTGGGGGAAAAGCCAAAAGCAAAGAAGAAAAACATGTTAAGTAAGAATAAGAAATAGTACTGATGTATGCGCCAGATTTAGACCATCAATTGGCATCAGCTGAGTTTTTGTGTGGGTTTGCTCTTCTGGTCTTAACACACAACACAGATTTCCTGTTGGCTAGCAAAATGAGTGTGTGTATTTTAAGTGAATTATCTTAAAAATAATAATTAAATTTAGGTTTTTTTGGGGGACGTATTGTGAGCAGCTCACGGTCTCAGATTATTTCTGTTAATGGCAAAAATTGTTAGCAAAGAATCACACACTCTAAGCTCTATCTAAAAGTTTTGGCAATTTCTTATTTGTTTTGTCTTTCAGTTTATTATGTTATATCTATCAGAGAACTCATATTTAATAAAGAAAAAGTATAGCAAAAGAAAGTAGCCAGAAAGTGTGTGTGACTGCAAAGCTGATTTATGAAAATAAATAAAAGCAGTTGAAAGTATGCATCTGAATACTCTGTATTTTAGTCTGTATGGCGTAGGAGTGTGGATTAAATCACTGTAAACATTAAAGGAATGTCTCATCATCGTCCCTGTATAAAGTTGTGGCTTTAGTCAACTCTCTCACCTATCTTTTCAAGATAACTGCAAATACAAGTATGTCCACGTATCACTTATTCAGCATTAGGTCTTCGTGGACCTTACAGAGAGACTTCTCTTTCTTAGTACTGTAAATAGTATTCTAATAGTTTTTTTCTCAGCTGCAAAGTAAAGTTGATAGATACTTGTTTTCATTTACAGTTCTTTGTTTTCAGTGTACACCATATAAATAGAAGGGCTATTGCAAAGACTTTTAAGCATAGTTAGTGATTTGGCTTTTTTTTTTTTTTTATTATTCTCTTTGTTGTGGGAAACATCAGAAGCATTGCATTTGATGTATAGTTCAACATTATGGAAATATGCTTCAGCCTGTCTGCACAAGTGTTCCCACCATGCACTCAATGTTTGCTTTGTATGTAGTCCATACAGCATAATGTGGAGCGATTCAGGGTAAATTACATACCATTCCATTACCTCACAACAGGCCTTGACACCTATGGGTGTTCATGGGAAATTATAGAGTTCTCTTGCAATCAGCCAAGATAACTTTTTATAACTTACAGAAAGATCAGCCCTTCAGAAAGCCAAAAATATTAGTCATTTTCAGTTGTAGTTCTTTTCTTTTCTTTTCCCCTTTGGCCCACTTATATCAAATCCAAAGTTTGCTTGTATTTTATAAAAATACAATAAACTCTGATTTGTTTAAAACAAAAACAGGACTGGGTGTATTAAGTAAACACTCTCTTTGGTAATACAGGCATTTATTCCAGCACTGCTTGATAATATTTCTGATCTTTTTTTTTTTTTTTTTTTTTTTGTTCTTTTCATTTTAAAGTAATGAGAACAATCCTTTTGTTATTGCAAAGAAAACAGAGACTTTCTCAGCAATTAGGTCTTACTGATGAGAATGAGATAATTTCCCCCTAATGTGTTTTCTAATAAAGAAGTGAAAAGGCACGCTTGATTCCAACATATATGAAAACATTATCTCAATTATTAATGTGTCCTTACTCCCTGGAGATAAATTAATCTAGTTGCACATGGTTTCCCCTTTCTGTTTAAGATCAAAATTTAATAAGAGTAGACTTAAAGAATGTATACAATACACACATAAATTCTATTAGAATAAAATACAGAAGTTTAAAAGGCTTATATGTTTTAGTAGTCAAAGCTTTCAGGCTCCAAACTTTAAACTGTGAATTCTGGAAACAGCTAGATTTTAAGTGGTCTTTTCCCCTGCAAATGCAGCTTAGATGAAAAAACTTCTACTAACAGATATATCAAAGGATAGAATGTTACAGTTTCCTTTTCTTCATTCACCTGAAAAAGTTTAAAAGTTTGCTGTCTTTCTTGATTTTTTTTTTTTTTTGGTCAAAGGTCAAATAGTTTTTTTTTTTTTTTTTTTTTTTTTTTTTTTTTTCTCCTTTGAATAGGCCAAGAATGACAAATATATTATTTCTCTTTATTCTAACTTGACTTAATTCAAGTTCCGATTTTCTGGAAGAAATATGTTTTCATATATTAGATTTTTTTTACAATGAGCAAAATATATAAATAGCAGGGTGTTCATTAGTAATTACAAAGTGTTAAGCCTGTGTTACTGATTTTCCCCTTAAACAGACAGGATTAACTGGCACTACTAGAAAGTGTGCATGTCATTTTAATAAAGTACCGTTTGGGTACTTATTGGCCTTTTCATGCCTCAACTGAAGTCAAAGAAAACATTGCCTTTGACTTCATCTGGACTAAGTACAGGCATTTTTCTGGGACACAAGTTGGCCAGAATCCATTTAGCAGTACTGTACGTTTCTATACAAATTAATATGCAGAGAGAATCCCTTACCTTTCAAATGAAGCACTCATTCCAGTTATGGTGATAGATTTGTATTCAGATTCTCAAGGCTGTAGTTTTGGACTAAATTCACTGTTACAGCAAAACACTGGAGGATAGAATTATGTGCATGCTGTAGTTCTATTAAAGTGAAAATTATGTTTCTCAGCAATCCATCATCTAGTATTCTAGACTGCTTGTCAGCCCTGTTTCAAATATGTCATGTTCATGAAATTCAAATAATTTTGTCTTGAAAAAACCCTTAGTTATATTACTATTATATCTTAAATTATGCAGAGTAGCAGCTGGTGACGTTCTGTTGTTGCCTTGTTTTGCCTTTTCTGAGGATTTTGTGTGGTGTACCACCCTTGGATTTATTTTCTACTAAAAAAACACAATAATTTTTACTTTCATATGGATTTTAAGTTCACACACTGCCTACTGGAAATAT